CCGGGAGGGCCCGCCGCGCCCTCGGGGCCCTCCCTGCGCCCGCACCCGCGTCCGCATCCGCCGGGGCCATGGCGAAGAAGAACGCCGAGAACGGCATCTATAGCGTGTCCCGCGACGAAAAGAAGGGCCCCCTGATCGTGCTCGGGCCCGACGGCGCCCCGGCCAAGGGCGATGGCCCCGCGGGCCTGGCGGTGCCGCCGCGCGAGACCTGGACGCGCCAGATGGACTTCATCATGTCCTGCGTGGGCTTCGCCGTGGGCCTTGGCAACGTCTGGCGCTTCCCCTACCTGTGCTACAAGAACGGCGGAGGTGAGCGCCCCGCCCGCCCGCCGGCACGTGGGGCCGGGGGGTGGGAGTGGGGGGGCCGCCCAGCACAGCGGCCCGCGGCCGCCACCCCCTCGCCAGTCATGTGCCTGGCAGTGTGGTGGGGGGAGGGGGCCGGCCTCAGGGATTGGCCATGGAGGTGGGAAGCCCGGCCTGCCCCCTAGGGGGGCTCCCAGAGGTGAGGAGCCTTGGCTGCCCCCGCGGGTCAGGCACACAAGTGGCACATTGTGTGGGCCCCCCCACGTGTGCACACACGAACACACGCATACACAATGGGCCACTCTGTCCCTCCCCCTCCCGCTGCCCTCCCCTTCCCATCCCTTCCCTCTCCTCCCCTCCGCCTGTGCCTGGAACACTGGGTGCCTGAGCCAGGCTAGGGAAGCCTGCGGCCGGCCGCCCGGCGCCGCCGCTGGGCACACTGCATGCACACGCGGTGCTGCCCCGGCTGACTGCAGCCATGGGCACGCGGCTGTCCTGGGGCGAGGAAGGAGCCCTGGGGGTAGTGGAAAGCGCAGTTACTGCGTGGTGGGGCGGGAAATTGAGGCCCAGACAGAAGGCCTTGGCCCAAGGTCACACACAAGTAGGATGCTAGGACCAGGCGCTGAGCAGGCTGCAGCCAAGCCGGCTTCCGAGGACGAGGATGGGAGAGAGCAGAGCTCCGAACAAGGGTAGGGCCTGGCAGGGAGGCAGAGGGCAAGATGGGCTGCTGGGGGGACCAGCTCCCTGCACTGCCCCCTGCCCTGCTGGGCCTGTTCCTATGGCCCAGCCCTGCCTCCTCCAGAGCCTGCCTCGCCCTCACGTGGCTTGCTGGGCGCAGCTTGTCTCCCTCTGTCCTTGCCCACTGACACCTTCAGCACCTCTCCTCCCTGGCACAGGCCTGCTGCCCACCCATCCACCTCCCCAACCCTCGTATTTGCATGCCAGTGTCGGGCGCAGGGGAGGCAGGGGCTCCCTGCCCTCGCTCAAGTCCAGGCAGACCCTCAGGCCCCAGCGCTCAGCCACGCGCACACGCCACACGCGCACGTACACATGCTCTCGCTGTTCCTTCCGGTCGCTGCCTAGCAAAGAGCGAGTTGCTGCACGAGGCATGGTCTGCATGTGTGAGCGCACGTGTCCTCCGTACAGTAGGTCAGTGCAGGTCAATGCACGCACCCATGGGGTGCAGACCTGTGAGTGGAGGGCCCCACAGCCCAGGGGCTGCTGGAGCCCCTCCTCTCAGCCCAGCCAGCGCCTACCCCCAGGCTGTTCACCTTGTGCCTGAGTCAGCGGCCACACTCCACTGATTCATCCAGTGGGAAGTTCGCATGGGCAGGGTGGGGCTGAGCTGAGCTCCACCCCACTCCCGGGCTTCCTGGAGGCTGTGGGGGTTGGGGCAGATGGCTCCCCCTGAGCCCCACCCCGCGCTGCTCCCCTGCAGGTGTGTTCCTTATTCCCTATGTCCTGATCGCCTTGGTGGGAGGGATCCCCATTTTCTTCCTGGAGATCTCACTGGGCCAGTTCATGAAGGCTGGCAGCATCAATGTCTGGAACATCTGCCCCCTATTCAAAGGTGAGTACCCCAGTGCCCCCTGCCCCTTTCCCACGGAAGGGGCGCGGGAGCGGGCAGGCCTGTTCGGTCCGAGCATTGGGCCTGGGCCCCAGTCACACGCAAGAGGGAACTTCTTGGACATGCAGGCCACGCCTCGAAGTTGGGCAGGCAAGGAGCAGAGTGGAGGAGTAGGGCCTCTCCATCGGGCGGGCAAGGGCAGGCCGGGCACAAGTGGGCACAGTACCTGCAAAGGATGGCTTAGGTCCCTGCGGGCAAGTGGAGGGGTGGCTGGTCATGGGAGGTGGTGACGGGAGCAGCACTGGAGGCCGGCCCTCACCACGCCTGAGGGCCAGCGAAGGAGTTTGGACTTGGTCTGGTAGGCCGTGCGAAGCGACTGCAAGTTCAGGGTGTGACTGACGGGCAAGATCACACTAGAGTACCTTCTGTGCCAGGCAGTGTTCATCCACCAGTCTCGATGCCCGAGGAGGCAGGGCCTACTAATATCCACCCAGTGTCTAGAGGAGGCAGCTGAGGCACAGAGAGGTGCAGTGACTTGCCCAAGGTTGCCCACTGAGGCGGTGATTGTCTCCTACATGGTCCCAGGCTACAAGAAAGCTCCCCCAGCCACTGTGTGCTGGAGGCTGGTGGGGAGCCACTATGGTGGCTGTGGGGCCCGAAAGCAGGGGACCTATTGTGAGCGGGAGGGGAGGGGCTCTGCCCTGGGTCTGGCGGCGGATTGAGAAGGTGACGCGGGGGATAAGTTCACCCGGTGTTGGGACACTTGAGCACGAGAGAAGGAGGGGACAGGATGGGGGTGGGAAAGGGAGGACAGCGGAAGCTGTTGGTGCTAGTCCCGTGTAGGGTGGCTAACGGGGGTGGGGAGCTGGCCAGCAAAGAATTCTCCCTGCCACCCCCAGGCCTGGGCTACGCCTCCATGGTGATCGTCTTTTACTGCAACACCTATTACATCATGGTGCTGGCTTGGGGCTTCTATTACCTGGTCAAGTCCTTCACCGCCACGCTACCCTGGGCCACGTGCGGCCACAGCTGGAACACTCCCGACTGTGTGGAGATCTTCCGCCACGAAGACTGTGCCAATGCCAGCCTAGCCAACCTCACATGTGACCAGCTTGCTGACCGCCGGTCCCCCGTCATCGAGTTCTGGGAGTGAGTCAGGCGCCTCTGGGCCAAGCCCATCGTGCCCCTCTGGTCTGCCACACTTGGCCTGAGTCTGCTGGGCCCTCGCCCTTGGGAGCTGAGGCCAGGTGCAGAGGAATCACTCCCAGGCCACCCCTGCAGCTAGATGCGGGCTGCTCTGTCAGCACCAGTTGTCACTCCCATTCACTGTCATTCAGTCGCGCCTGTCTGGTGGGGGAGCTGGTGCTGCCTGTGGCGGGGGAGGGGGCAGGGGGGGCCTGGGGCCAGGCCGGCAGCCCCACTCCCTGCAGCCAGGGGCTCCAAGGCTCCAGGTGCACGGGGAGGCCTCCAGGTGGACAGGAGGGACCAGCTGGACTCCCAGCTGGAGGAGGGAGGGGCCGCAACCCCTAGGACAGCTCCCAATCGCTTTGCCTACACTGACGCAGCCCTCATGAGCTGTCCCTCCCCAGGAACAAAGTCTTGCGGCTCTCTGGGGGGCTGGAGGTTCCAGGGGCTCTCAACTGGGAGGTGATGCTGTGTCTGCTGGCCTGCTGGGTGCTGGTCTACTTCTGTGTCTGGAAGGGGGTCAAGTCTACAGGAAAGGTACAGTTGGAGGCTGTCGGGGGATGCCAGGGGCAGCATGGCCTTGGAGGGCTTTGTCTCTGGAGGGGACAACTGTTGCAACAGGAGGCAACTGGACTGAGGAGGGGGGAGGTGCTTCAACCCAGGCCACTTGGTCCCGGCCCCATGGCTGGCTACTCCTCGTGCTCTCCAAACACAGGGACCCTGAGTGGGAGAGGCCCAGGCAGCAGCTGCCCCTTGGCCATGCTTCTGTCTGTGACAGCCTCTCTCGCCTGCCTGTCTGACCCTGGGGAGCCAGGGTTAAGGAGGCATGCGTATGACCAGACACACGGGAACGTGGAACCCCAGTGTGTCTTCCTCCTGGGAGGGGGAGGCAGGGGCTTTGCCCGTCGGTCTTCCTCTTGCCTCTGTCACTACCAGTAAGGGGCCTGCCTTTTCACAGAGAAGTGGCCTGGGGTTAGGGGTGTGCGAGGCAAAGGACCTGTCCCCCCGGCTGGCATCCCCTCAGCCCGGACCCTACAGGGTTTTGGGAGGGATGCCCTCATACCCCACACAAGTCCACACACCTGGGTGCACTTCTTCCCACGGGGACACTCTTCAGAAACTGCCCATGCACTGCCCCTCAGGTGAGCATGCGCCAGCCCACCCTCTCCCCAAAGGACGTGCTCCCTGGCAAACATGGCCTGGCCTTGTCCCAGCTGGCCTCGCACCCACACTCTGTGGTGGACACGGCTCTGGGGGTAGGGTGGGGGTCACCGGGCGGCCCCTCTCCTGGCCTCTGAGCACACCTCCAGTCCGGGGGCCCTGCAGATCGTGTACTTCACTGCTACATTCCCCTACGTGGTCCTCGTGGTGCTGCTGGTGCGCGGTGTGCTGCTGCCTGGCGCCTTGGACGGCATTGTGTACTATCTCAAGCCTGACTGGTCAAAGCTGGGGTCCCCTCAGGTGAGGAGCCAGGCCGCGGTGAGATGGCGTGGGGCTGGCTGCATGGTACCCCCTCACTCCTGCTTCCGTTGCCCCTCCAGGTGTGGATCGATGCTGGCACCCAGATTTTCTTCTCGTATGCCATTGGCCTGGGGGCCCTCACGGCCCTGGGCAGCTACAACCGCTTCAACAACAACTGCTATAAGTAAGCTCCGTGTCCCTGCGACCCCCTAGCCTGGCCTGCCCGCCCCCTGCCTGCAGGCACTGACCAGTCGGTCCTGCCCTACCCCGCCCACCAGAGACGCCATCATCCTCGCACTCATCAACAGCGGGACCAGCTTCTTTGCTGGCTTCGTGGTCTTTTCCATCCTGGGCTTCATGGCGGCAGAGCAGGGGGTGCATATCTCCAAGGTGGCCGAGTCAGGTAAAGGCCCCCGGTGGTGCCCAGTTCCAGAGTTGTGCTGCTGTGTGCGTGCACCCTGGACATCCACACCCAGCTAGGTGGTCCCTGCTGCCCTCCGGCCTCTCAGGACGGGGGCCTGGGTCTCCCCTTGTGGGCTGTAGGCCAGTCCATCTGGAGACTTGAGCCCCCGTTCATCCATCCGTCCCAGGGACCTGGGGTATGTCCTCATCTTTGTCTGAGTGCGGCAGAGAGAAAGGCGGGCCTCCACCCAGAGCTCATGGTCACCTGTGACTGCAGGAGTTTGACCCAGGCAAACAGTTCTTAGGGCTTGGGGCTGGGGAGGACCTGGAGCCTTCTGGCCCTACTGTGGGGAGCCCTGGGCCTGGGGCAGGCCCGCAGTGCTTCAGAGCTGGAAAGGCCTGGCCAGTGGCTAATGCACCCAGGGCCCTGGCTTTGTCACTGCCCTCATCCCCTGAGGGGATGTGTGTGAGCCCAGGCGGAGTTCAGGTCTGGACTCTGCACCTCCCTGCAGGGCCTGGCCTGGCCTTCATCGCCTACCCCCGGGCTGTCACACTCATGCCTGTGGCCCCACTCTGGGCTGCCCTCTTCTTCTTCATGCTGCTGCTGCTCGGGCTCGACAGCCAGGTTTGGAGGGGACCCAGGCGGGGGGCAGAGAGAGGAGGGCCAGCCGGGGCTGAGAGGAGCAGGACCTCACCTGAGCTGCCCACCAGTTTGTAGGTGTGGAGGGCTTCATCACCGGCCTTCTTGACCTCCTCCCGGCCTCCTACTACTTCCGCTTCCAAAGGGAGATCTCCGTGGCCCTCTGCTGCGCCCTCTGCTTCATCATTGACCTCTCCATGGTGACCGATGTGAGTGGGCTCGGTGGGGCACCCCTGGCTCCCGGCTGCCCCCCGGCCACTGCCTGACTTGGGTGTGCCCCCTGCAGGGCGGGATGTATGTCTTCCAGCTGTTTGACTACTACTCGGCCAGCGGCACGACCCTGCTCTGGCAGGCCTTCTGGGAGTGTGTCGTGGTGGCCTGGGTGTACGGTAGGTGCCAATGAGGGGGCGGGGTAGGGGCAGGCGGGGCAGGTGGGGCTCCAGCTCCTTCCCTCCCTCTCCCTCCCAGGCGCCGACCGCTTCATGGATGACATCGCTTGCATGATCGGGTACCGGCCATGCCCCTGGATGAAGTGGTGCTGGTCCTTCTTTACCCCACTGGTCTGCATGGTAATGTCGGCAAGGAAGGCCGGGAGGGCTGGGGAGCAGGCCAGCCGGGCGGGGAGCTGATGCCTCTCGTCCGCTAGGGCATCTTCATCTTCAACGTGGTGTACTACAAGCCACTGGTATACAACAACACCTACGTGTACCCGTGGTGGGGCGAGGCCATGGGCTGGGGCTTCGCGCTCTCCTCCATGCTCTGCGTGCCCCTCCACCTCCTGGGCTGCCTCCTCAGTGCCAAGGGCACCATGGCTGAGGTCAGTCCGCTCGTCATCCCACCCCCAGAATGGGCGGGCCCAGGCCCCGGTGCAGGAAGCCTTGGGGCCAGCTCCCGACTGGGGCAGGTGGAGGGAACACTAGGCCTCCACAGCCTGGGAGAGGCAGGTCGGGAGGAGGGCCGTCCTCAGTGTCCCTCCCGTCCCAACACCCACTCAACCCTGCTTTCACGGCGCAGGGAGCGAGCAGGTGGCAGGGCGGCAAGAGCCCGGACACAGGCAGAGAGGAGGGTGTGAGCCCCCCGGCAGGCGCCGTGGGCACGGCTGTGCTGGCGCCGAGCAGGGGGGCTTCACCGTGCCCTTCTCTCCCGCAGCGCTGGCAGCACCTGACCCAGCCTGTGTGGGGCCTCCACCACTTGGAGTACAGAGCTCAGGACTCGGATGTCAGGGGCCTGACCACCCTGACCCCAGTGTCTGAGAGCAGCAAGGTCGTGGTGGTGGAGAGCGTCATGTGACAACAGCCTCCGCAGAGCCCTGGCCTCGCCAGCTCACATCACCAGCGCACCCTCTTGTAGCCATAGCAGCCCCTGCTTTAGCCCCTGCCCGACCCCTCCAGGGGACCTGTCTTTCCCTGATAGTTTTGGGGTCTGCCTGAGGAGGGAGGAGGGGAAGCACCACGAGTGCTAACTAAAATCATTTTTAATAAAATGCCAAGAATATCACAACCCACCAAAAATAGATTCCTCCCCCACCCTGTCCGCAGCCAAGCGGGTGCACATGCTGCTTCCCAGGCCTGCCTTCTCCCCCTCCGCCTTCCACCCGGGCTCCCCTAGCCGCCTGCCCGCGGACCCGGGAGACCCGGCTGGGCCGCCTTGCCTCTTGGGGCTCTGCGCCTGCAACATCATTGCCCTCGGGGGCTCATCGCCCCAGAACCAGCAGAGGCCACCTGGGGGCCTGAAGGAGAGGGGAGCCGAGGGAGGGGCAGTGACCCGGGCCCAGATGGCAGCTGGGCTAGACCCTCCGCCCCTCCGCCCCTCCGCTCCTATTCTAGTAGCTTAGAGAGTCAGCCAGCAATGAAACCTTCTGGTTCCTGCACCAATAGCCACCGCTATCAATTGTGTGCACTTGTGTGTGAGTACACGTGCATCTGGAGCGTATACCTGGAGCTCTGTCTCGTAGCAAAGGTGAATACCAGGTGGAACCTGTGCTGGTGGGCAAACGAAGCTTATATTTTGCACATTTTATAAAAACTTGACGAGTGAGATTTCTGCTTGTATATTTCTAAAAAGAGAAACCAGCCCAAACGGCCCTCTCCCTACCACACCCCTCCCCTTTGGCCCCACCGGCCTCCTCTCCCCTAGCCAAGGAGTGTGAATTTCTAGCTCTAATTTTCATAGACAAAACCGAAGCTTCCAGCTGTCCAGTAAGCGAGTCAGCTGTGTGAGTGTGCATGTGGGATCCCAGCCCCAGACAGGTGGGGTCTCGAGAGGCGTCTCCCCTCCCGATGCCCACAGTCCTGGGGTGAGAGCATGCAGTGTTGTGTCCTGTGGGGATCTGGGCCGCTCACCTGGTGTGCTCAGGCTTGCCCACACTCTGCTCCCTGGGCTGGGCCAGGATGGCAGGGATCCGAGGTGGGCACAGACCAGGAAAGGGATCCTGGGCGTGCCTCCCGCCTCCCAGCTTAAGGCTGATGCACTCTCCACATCTGAAGTCTTCCACACAGCAGCTCTGACCCACGTCTGTGTCACGACGAAGCCCAGACAGCTGAGTAGACCCGAAAAAGGATTCCCCCTCACCGTGACTGACATAGGTGGAGGGGTGAGGGCGGGGCCCGCGGGGACATTACGACTGTGCTACAAAGCCACTTGCAAACATAGCAATAAAAACATGTCATTTTCCAAAGCGGCTCCTGCTTCTACCACAGCTTCTCTCAGCAAGTATTTGTTTGAGGGCCTCGGCGCCCAGCACTATGTTGGAACGGGAGTAGAGCAGGAACGAGGCCGACGGAAAGCATTTTCCCCATGGAGCTGACATACTTGGGGAGAGAGTGATAAAAGTACACTAAAGAAGAACAAATCAAGCAGGAAAGGGTGGCTGTTTGGTTTTGGAAGCTAAACTTTTCACAAGGTTGTCCAAAGAATGCTTCACTGAAAAGGTGACCTTTCAAGGTCCGAAGGAGGTGAGGGCACAGGCCAGGGGGACACCTGGGGAAGAGGTGAGTGAGGAGGCTCCCGCAACACTCGGGGGGAAGGTGGTGGTTAACCGGAGCAGGGTGGTAGCAGTGGAGGTGATGGGCAGTCTTCAGATTAGGGATGTGTTTTGAAGGCAGAGTCCACAGGGCTGTGGACGAACAGGATGCAGGACAGAGAGAGGGGTCAAGGATGACACTGAGAGATTTGACCTGAGCCACGGGCAGGCCGGAGTTGCCAGGTGCTGTGATGGGGGGACGAGAAGGTTTGGAGGGGATGATAGGGGAGTCTGCTCTAGGCAGCTTGTGCAGGATGGAGGGGTCATCCGGGTGGAGATGTTTGTTGGCAGTTGGATATGGAAGTCTGGAATTCCGGAAAGAGGTCTGAGCTGGACATGGCACTTTGGAAGTTGCTGGCACATGTGAAGCCCTGAGCCTGGAAGAGCTCTCCCAGGGAGGCTGGGAGTGGGGGTAGAGGGAGGAGTGGCCCGAGGACCAAACATCCAGTGGGGAGGGAGGGAAACCGAGAGCGTGAGGTGGTGGCATGGAACACAAGTGAGACTCCCTGGTGTCAAGGGCGAGGGAGTGATCAGTTGTCAGACGCTGCCGAGGGATCAAGTATGATGAGGCCTGGGAACCCACGCTGGGTTTGGCAGCGAAATGATGGTAGGCTGGACAAGAGCGGTTTGGGTGGAGGGGGAATCTGGAGAGGGCAGACCTGATGAGTGGGGCTCACCATTGGAAATGGTGACTCCAGACCAGTCTTGAGGGCAGGGGTCTGGTGACAGGCGGAAGGTGGCCTTGGCAGAGAGGATGGGCAGGCAGAGGCCGCGAGGTGCTCATGGAATGCTGACAGGGATGGTCCCCTCTGCCCCAAACCTATTTCTCAGACCTCAGGCTCCCAGCGCTCACCCATCTCTTCACTGCTGGTATTTCTCCACAGTTGCCTTCAGCTCCTTCTCACCCTACAAACCCTCTGAGAACCTGCTTACCTGGAACTCATCTCCCCCATGCCACTCACTCCCAAACCTCCAGCCCGGCCCTCCTTAACTACAAACACCCTTCCCAGCAACATCAGACGTCGCCCTGGGGTGCCCGTACCCTCACACTGCCGCTCATGGCCCTCACCTCCAGCCTGTCCCCCAACCACCTCCTCTTCCTAAGCTCACCTTCTCGATATACGGTCCTGTGGTAACCCACTCATTGGACAGGGCCCGAGGCACCCTCTCCATTCCCCACCAAGTCCTGTGGCTTCTGCATCTCTTGCTGGAACTAGAGTACTAGTCTGCTCACCGTCCCCCACCTCCCTTCCACCAGGCCCCTGGTGAAGACTCGGCAAACAGTGGAGGGAAAAAAGCAAGCTTCCCAGAGTGGCAGCATTGGAACCGCCGTGAGGAGCAGCGGGCACCACCGTCTGTCCAGGAGACAGCGACTGAGCCCCTATGGCTGTGGGCCTGCTCCTGTGTTCAGTGTTTAGAACAAGTATGAGACCAACAGGAAGCAAGCTCACCACAGCACTGCTCTGAGTGACAGCCCTGGGGCCTCGGGGGGCGGTCACTGTCGGGAAGGCTGAGGGGCCAGGGAAAGGCAGGTGAGCTGGGCCTGTTCAGAGAGCAGGGGCTGGAGACTGGGCGTTTCCACAGCGCCCCGGCCTCATCCCTGAGGACGTGCCTCCCTGTCGCTGCCCCACCCCTCTGCCCAGCACAGGGGGTGGGAACTCACGAGGGGAATGGCAGCAGGCCTCCCGCTGACGGGAAGGGCCCCGCCAACGTGCTGTTTGGACTTTAGCCTTCAGAAGCTCAGGGAGGCCCGAGAGTCAGGGCCCACTTCCTGGAAAGTGGGTCCAACCCTCAGCCTTGGCACAGCAACCCCAGGGCTTGTTGCCGGCACGCCTGGGAGCCATCCACATGCTCTGGGCTCAGAGACTGCCCCACAGCTCCTAGCAGGGGTGGGGGGGGTAGGGTGGCATAGGGTGGCACTCCCTGATGAAACGCTAGAAAAGGGAGCCCCCCACCTGGCCCCAGACAGGGCAGGCAGTATCGGGGCATGTGACTGCCCACCCGCAGACACTTCTAGCCATTCTGCTCCAACATCTTCAGAAGGTCCCCCCAGCCCCCTCCCAGGTCCTCATGTGGATACCAAGCATGGCAGAGACCCTGCACAGGGCGAGCACCCCACCAGGGGCACGGGCTGGAGGGGCCCAGCACCCGCCAAGCTCTAGCCCGGGAGGCAGGAAGCCCTGCCACAGCCCCAGGCCCCGCTCCTGTGTGTGACTGAGGACACTCAACTCCAAGGCCCAGCTCCGCTAAACCTAGCCTGCCGAATCCAGCCTGGGGGGTGGGGGTGAGGGTAAGTTACCCCAGGGGAAACCCACTGGAAGTGGGGCTTCTAGGATCGAGCCTGCTCCCAGGGGTTGGAGCAATACAGGGAGCCCCTCTCCATTCCCTCTCTCTGCCCCCAGCCAGTTCACGGTCAGGGCCAAGGACAAGCCTCTCTGAGTTGCATTAGTCAGAGGTCATCCTGCAAACCTTCAAGAAAGGGTGGGGCAGGGTGTGACTGGTGGCACTCTGCCAAGTTCTCTCTGTCCCAAATGTGAGTAACAGGAACTCAGAGCTGGAGTCTACCACCCAAGGCCCTGCCAGTGTACCTGCATCTCACCAGTGCCCTGGCTCCAGCTGCCAAGCCCCAGGAGACTGACAGGCAGACACTCCCCAGGCCTTCAGAAAGTGGGGCCTCACCCAGTCGGCTGGCATGGGGGAGGGGCAGAGGCTCCCAGAGCCAATGGGAGCCTACCCGGCAGAGCCAGGAGCAGCCCCTCACCCCAAAGCTGGCCCCCCAGGGAGCAACCCTCTAGGACTCCCTGAAGCCTCAGACAGCGAATGCTGCTGGCCTCGGGGAGGCTGCCAGGCCCCCGCCGGGCCACTACACTCTCGGGCTTCAGAGAGGGGAGACAGAGGCAGCCTCCTGAAGCACGATTGCGTCGTAACAACAACTTTTATTGCCCCAAGAACTGCTGCGTCTGCTGCGCCCTCCCACAGGGGCAGAGGAAAGGGGGCTCAACGATCAGGAAGCACCCCGACCCAGGCCACGCCCTTTGGAAACGGAAACTGGGGACGGGCTAAGGCAGAATGACTGGGAATTGTAGAAGCCAGGCCCCTGTCAGATGCTGGAGAGGCGCAGGGGCCAGGTGGAGAACAAGCGACGAAAGTGCGTCTGGGGAGGGGGGCGGAAGGCAGTGAGCTGAGGTACCGCGCAAGCACGTGCCAGGTGGGAGGCAGCTGTGGGCAGGGAGGATAGGGCGCCTCTCCTCACTCCTCCTTCTTGTCCGTGGGACCATCGACCGCTGCCTGGAGAGGGACAGAGAGCCCAGAGCAATGGGTTGGGAGGGACCACCCTGTGACTTCCACCTCCGCCCCCAAGCCCTGAGGCCTAGCTTGGTTCCTTTGGTCCTCAGTGACAGCTATCCAGCCGAGCAAGGGACCCCACCCTAATGGCACCCAGAGTTGCCGGGGTGGGACTATTGAAG